TGATCTGTCCCTCATTGTTTTGGATTAATCTCATTTTCGAAAACATTCTTGAAAACATAAATATCGATGAACTGAGTATATCCACGTCACACAAAAAGTTTTGCAAAATGTGTTTTATATAATATTTTTTCCAAAAAACATTGTTTCTAATGTAAAAGTTAAGTGCTCATTCTGTGCGCTTATATTAAGTTTTTTGTTTTACAACTTAGTTTAGTTAATGATGCATATTCATACCACCAATGATATTATTTTTACCATTACAAAGTAATCATCTATTACAAATAAGATTTTGTAATATTTTCCAGCTGTAAAAACTGTTAGCTGATTGTGATAACTTTGATTTTCTGTAAGGTGTAATAAAAATCTTTACACTGGTGTGCAAAAATAAAGGACGAAGTCGAAAAATTAGCATATCAGCTGAACGAAGAGGCAGAGCGGACAGAAAGACCAATCAGGAGATTAAGTAAGGTGATGTACGGTAGCACATGCGCAGATATGCAGGTAGACGTAATGGGGAAGTGTCTGAGTGTATAAAGCATGTTGTCGGGTGTAAGATCAGTAGTATTTCTGGCAAAGAGATTGCACCCGTATAGCAGTTAAAAATCACACCGAGTTGCTGCTGCCTCAGCGAGAAATGGCGAATAAGCAATCTGTTAGACGACATCTGGATGCTTTTACCCGAGGTCGAATCATTGGGCAGTTGGAGGAAGGCCGCAGTGTGACAAGTGTGGCTGCAGAGTTCGGAATTGCTCACAGCATCGTTTTACGACTTTGGAGACAATTTTCAAACTACAGGAACAGCTATCCGGGGGTTTTAGTAGTGGTCGTCCACGAGGAACCACACCCCGCAGATGACCAGGTATATTGCCTTACAGGCCAAAAAACAGGCGGCAGACAGCGGGAGAAATCACTAGACACACGACACAGGTGACTGGACGACCGATATCGCGTTTTACCGTGGCCAGAAGACTGCACGGTGGTGGTCTGTTTGCACGACGCCCTGTACGGTGGTGTACCTCTAACGCCTGCCCATCGGAGAAGGCGTTCTCTGTGGTGCCGGGAACACCGGGAATTGGAGAGACAATGAATGGGGACGAGTACTCTTTACAGGTGAGCAGATTCAGTCCGAGTAGCGATTCTCATCGCATACTCATCTGGAGAGAGCGGGGAAACCGCAATCATCCCTCGAACATCATTGAAAGGGACAGGTACGGAGGTGGCGGTGTTCTCGTTTGGGGAGGCATCATGTTTGGTAGTCGTACAGACCTTCACATCTTCCACGCAGGTTCAGTCAACGGGACCCGTTATTGTAACGAGATTCTTCTTCCATATGTGCGTCTTTTTAGAGGCGCTATGGGTCCGCAGTTCCTTTTCATGAACGACGATGCACCATGTCATCGCACAGTAGCTGCTGAACAGCTCTTAGAGAGTGAGGATATTGAACGTATGGATTGGCAACATGGGCAGACGCTGTGAAACCTGCCTAGCAGTCAGGGGAGATCATATCCTCTATTAAAGACCGGATGTTTCTTGCTGCCCAGCCATCACAGGGATGTTTCGGCCTTCAGTCGCATTGCGCTCCATGCTACTTTTTCAATAAAGCTTCTTTTTATCCCTCTGATTTCTCTTTCAGTAAGTGTTGCTTACATTACTCATGTCCTTACGTATTGGGGATCTTACGGTATTAAACGATCTCCGGATCTCAATCCCATCGAGCATGTATGGGATTTTCTAGGCAGACGCTTGGCAGCTCGTACCTTACCACCAGTAACGATTCCGGCGCTTCGATTGGCGCTGTAAGACGAATGGGCAGCAATGCCTCAACAACTCATTGACACCCTCATTCTCAACATGGGCAGACGCTGTGAAACCTGCCTAGCAGTCAGGGGAGATCATATCCTCTATTAAAGACCGGATGTTTCTTGCTGCCCAGCCATCACAGGGATGTTTCGGCCTTCAGTCGCATTGCGCTCCATGCTACTTTTTCAATAAAGCTTCTTTTTATCCCTCTGATTTCTCTTTCAGTAAGTGTTGCTTACATTACTCATGTCCTTACGTATTGGGGATCTTACGGTATTAAATGTGTTGACTTGGAAAGCTTTTGTACAAAGTTATATTGAAACAACCGTCTCGTCCTTAATTTTTGCACACCAGTGTACTATTTGCATCAATACAAAAGAGTTCAACAAACTGAATACTGCTTTGTTTGTAGTGTACTAATACTTAATTATTAATAGAACAGCAACATTAAAACTTTCATTTTTGTAATAATAGCAAGTTTTGCTGTCTTTAAATTCTTTATTGTACTTGCATAGCAAAGTTTTATATTATATTTCTTCTAGCATAACACTATTATTGTTTAGCAACGATTTGAGTGTTATAGATTTCACTTTTTCAGAGTTTGGCTTACTTCGAAAACATGAACTAGCTCCAAACACCTGGTAGACGTGAAGCTAATTATCGCTGTTTTTGATGTAACCACAGAGCCTTGAAAAGGTTTAAACAACCTTTTTATTAAAACAGAATTTCGAACATAAATGCATTTCTTGTGATAATATAATCAACCACCAATTGCGATGGTGTAACTAAAGTAACAGTCAAATTCAAATTTCAAACGTAGACTAGTAGTCAAAGACTACGGAATTAAATTTTAATCTAACCTGGCTTAAAACTCTAACCGACATAGCAATTCAAATTTCAGCCTCAATAACGCCAAGCCGAAGAATTAGAATTGTAAACGTACACGAGATGGCAGGAAACACGTAAAGTGGCCGCAGGGGCAAAAGCACGTTCTGTTTTACAATCCAAAAACGTTAGTTTAAATGCTATCTAACTCAACTTACATTCTGGTGAGGTAACAGAAGGGAGAAGTTATAGTAAAAGTTTAATTAGTATAAATAACCGATTGATTTAAAAATTTTACACATTAATTACTAGAAGATTATTATTCTGTTGTTTTTTGTAATGATTAGAATCGTTTCAAAGATCTTTTGATTAGATTTTAACATTAATTTTAATGTTTCATAGCCATTCTGAACTATTTGGTGTTTCACTGAAAGCTGCATTATTGTTCAGTACTCCTTATATTGATTTGAATAATCACGAACGTTTAAGCTTGACCGTATTGTATAAGTGATTTGTTTAACTGAAATATATTGTTACGAAATGTACAGGCGCGGTAAGATGGCTTCCCCGCAAAACAGTTTTAGGGTTGCCATAAAAATGGTAAGGGTGTAAGGATCCTAAGTTTTACTAACGTTTATTTTATTTTAAATCTTTACTATCACTTCTTATTTTCTACTTCCGGCCAGAATTAAAAGCTTTAACAACTTATTTATGCAAATTTGTCTTGCGAACGCCAAGTACTTAAGTTGTGGCTTTTTGCCAAGCAAGAGAGAGGAAGGAGTTAGTCGAAGCAGGCCGCTTGCCATAGTAGTTTTACTCGGTTGCTGGTTGCCTTCAAGGCCAGAGGTTTAATCCTCTTGATAATTTTAAACGTATCATAGTGTTAGCAGTTCTCTGTACTACATACGGCTTTTTGTTAATATACGGCCAATCCTGGAGTTAGGCACTTGTTTGATTAATCCAAAGTTATTTTAGTTAGAGTTTAGTTAATATTTTTATATTCTTACGTTCAGACCACAAATGGTTGGTCTCTGTATTCCGAAGTCCGGAAATCATTGTAAAGAGAGAAAAATAAAGGGTTTCTTATACCCTTCCTGTGTGTATTGTCTACTACCCAAATTTATTGAACATAGCTTTAGTAAGCTCCCTGTTCCGAGTCAGGACCGTTAATGTTCCCTAAGCAAGTAAGGAGGAACACAGAACCTGATAAGGGAAGGCAGGGTTTCCACTTTTGGCGATAAATCGTCCATTTGACAAGATTTGGCGACAAAATTGGCGATATCCCATGGACGGATGGAGAACCTTCTGGAACGAATTCTTACCGGTTTAGCCCAGAGAATGTTCTCGAACACAAGCCGAATGCTATATAAACCCTGCTGGTCCGCAGTCAGTTAGTGTGTGTGTGTGTGTGTGCCTTGTCTAGAGAGCTGATAGTCAGTCATTGAGCGAGTGTCTCGAAGTCTAGCGCTGAGTTGGTCGTCGAGTGCATCGAGAGAATCTTTTAGTGCATCGCGAATTAGTGCACCATCGAGTTTTGTCTTAGACTATGCTGAGTCGAGAGCTATACTCTTGTGTATCGTCGAATGCATCGCGTGGAGAGTCTCGAGAGTACGTGGAGTTCTGAGAACGACCAAACAGAGTCGGAAGCTGTACTCTGGTGCTTTGCAGTGAAGCTATTTCCACCGTTAGTGCCTGACGGGGTGAAGGCTGTGTCGCTGATTGTTCCAGCGTGTTTATAGTAGATTTTCGACGACTGTAAAAAGTGTTACTGGAGCTGTCCTGATTAATATTGGCTAAATAAAGTGTGTTTCGATATTTTCATCAAGTGTCGTCGTTATTCACTCCAAATCTACGAACCCTGTACGAACGTGAAGGAAGAAAATAACGTAACAACTGGTGTCAGGAAGAGAAAAACGTAACAACTGGTGTCAGAAGTGGGATACGTAACAATATAATTGCTGTATACATGACATATTTTGAGCTTTCAGTTTATTTACTTTTTAATTGAACTGTTTTATTTTGAGTAATATTTAATAATGGTTTATGATTAATCGCAAATTTGGATGTAAACCTGCTGTCATAATGTAGATCTTTGAGTACGAATCACATTTAATTCAGTTCTCTTACACTGATTGAGAATTAGATAACTCTAACCTCAATCTCTAAATCTTTCGCTATACTTTATTTATATATTTATTTTATTTTGTTAATAAAAGAAATGTATTAATGTAAGTAAATCTGTCCTTTGTTCAGGCAATTCAGTTACCTATCTCCATGACATGTAAATTGCTTCACTGGGCCTAATATACTTTATTTGATGTAATTTTACTGAATATATTTTTTTCTTTTTATTAAAAACACTGGTCATTTTTCAGATACGTGACGCCACTGAAGACTGCATTAAAGAGGCTCTGCCTTCATCAGAGGGCACACTTGTGTCATATCTTACTGCCGCATGCAAAGACAAATCTTTGTTTGAAAAGGTAAAAGTAATAGATGAATATATGGCTATTTTCACTGATGACAATAAACGAAATTAATCTCTAGAATAGCTGAAGAAGAATGTGTGAGTTATAGAAAAGCATTACTCTAAAGCAGTTAAACAACTGAACTGATTGAAACCCTAAACTAATAAAATACGAAATTTTCATCTCATATTGCTAATATGTTCTCCATTTATTACACTGCAAACCTCGAAACTGTATTCTAAACAGACAGATAAATTATAAAGATGTTTTGTTTGGCGCACAGGCAAAAAAAAAAAAAAAAAAAAGAGGCTAATTTGGTTTGAGTTAAAATTTGAGTAAAAATAACTAATTTGAGTAAAATTTGAGGCTAATTTGAGTAAAAGTAACTGGTTACAGGCGAAAACGTCGCAGATGAAAACGTCACGGAGAAAACAATGCAAGACGAAAACATCGTGAAAGAAATGAAAGCAAAGAGAAAACATTGCAATTCTAAAACATCATGATATAAAACATCGTTGTCGAAAATAAAGTGTTTCAGAAACATGACATCGCAGTTTTAAAACATCGCGGTAAAAAATAAAGCACCTACAAATTACCGCAAGAGGATAACATTGCAGACACTGTGTTTTTCAGGTTCTAAAAGTTGTAAGTGTATACCAGCATAATGATTTGTAAGCGCTAGAAGGAGTAAGGAATATTTTACTTACGTATATCACATTTTTTTAATTAAATAGTAAATTTTTGCTAAAAATGCAAGAAGGAAACTAAACATTCAAAAACTGAAAGTGAGTAGAAAATTAATGCTAAGCATAACAGTTAATATAATTTTAAAGTTATGTAATTAACTATTAAAGGTCATTATTGATGATATTTTATAAAAATGTATTGGAGCTTTTCATAAAAAATATAGTCTAAAAATATCAGATAAACAAAGGGAAAGAAAGTTATGTTACAATTGGATAATTAATTAAATGATTGTAACATCATGCAATATTTCATCCTCCCTTTTCTTTTTCTAAACCATATTTTTTATTTAAAACTACCAGTACAGTTTTATAAAAGAGATTAATTGAATATTAACCTTTAATATTTAACTAGATAAGGAAAGCACTAAATAGGAATTTAGTTGTATAATAAATTTTCAGACATAAAATCAGACTATATTCAAACTATTTTCCCAATTTTTAAAACAAAAAGTATGCAATAAATAAAAAGGTTTTATATAAGTTTTTTTAAGTTTATAAATTACATTATTAAAATATTTTAATTAACCTTGTCTACTGTTATTTTAAATAGGATCGAAGGTAATAAACGCTTTTAAAAGCCACTCTGTATATTTTCAAAATATTTTTGCTGTCGAAGTCTCTCAGCGAGGTGAATAATACTTCATTACGTAACTCATGATGACCATTGCTTCTGGGATGAATATGCTATACTTTAGAGAGCGACATCAAAGCCGCTTTAAAGACTGCCAAGTACCAAGTCGTTCAATTCTATCATTGTAATACTTAATAATTCTATTTTATGCTATATCTTTCAAACAAACTCAGAGTTCAACAAATTCAGAGTGAGTTTGTTCAACAAACTTCAGAGTGGAGAACCTCTTAGATGCTCCTTAAGTTTAGAATGAAGGCTTTTTTTCCAAATAAAATTTTTTTATCAATTTAAACATCTTCTTGATAAAAAATAAGATCTGATCTAAACCGTTTTGCAATAGCGTGATTAGCTTCAAATCATTTATTTAGATAGCTCCGATAAATTATAACTAACTTAACGGCTTCTGATTAATAAATGCACCCTTATATCGTCATCTTTCTCCTTTGAACTTCTCTCATTCAGAAGAGTAAAAAGTTATTAACTAGTGAAGTAAAATCAATCCAGACTCCCTATTTTGCAGTGTATTCTTTTGTCAGAAGACCTAAGGATATAAATTTGTTCCTAACAAGGATTGGACACGTTTATGGACAACAGAATCTTGATTATCCATCAAACTTGGGACTGCCGTCATGACGGATATTTAAGAAACGCATTCTAAAGCTCATTTCGCCAGTTCAACTAGATATGAGCAGTCAGTAATTGATGAAATGCTTTTAAGATGAAATGTTTAAGTGTTAAGTTAAAGCAATAATTAAAAACTGATCACATGATAACTTCTTCGCTTGCTTACTATTATGTACAGTAAAAAGATGTCAGAATCCAAAACATAAATAAATCCAAAGCAGTCTGTACGCGATGAGTATGAAATATCTCAAGAAGCAACTGACATCCCACGATTATGGTAATTTATAAAGAAATTTTATTATTATTATTATTTACTATTATTATTATTATTATTTACTATCATTATTAATTACTATTATTTACTATTATATTTCTACAATTTTTAGACAAAATTTTAGCTTTTAATTATATTTGATGCACAGTGGGGCAAGATACCTAAACTTGTCTTGGTTTTTAATCGAAATATAATATCCATCAAATACATATTTATTATAGTTCTTGCATAATTAATACTTTGGAACATAAAAAAGCTAATATTTTAGGACCATAATGCAAAAAGTCAGATATGATGTTTTAGAATATGAATAAGATTTTGTAATATTCTGTAAAGAGTTTAAATAATTAGTCTTAAAAATCACAGTTGTATAACGTTCTGCATAAATAGTGAGGTAAAATAAATGGCAAGAGCTTCGGATCTTGTCGGATATTTTATTCGCATGGTGATAATCTCAGTTTGTTCCCAAAGTATGAAAAGTGTTAAATGTTTGCGATTTTTGTGATTTCGGCTGATAAAATCTTTTGGAATGCAATGTGACGAATTTTTGTCAGTGCAATATTATAAAATGGGTGCATGTTTAACAGCATGTGTATTTTAATGCTTATTAGTTTTAGGAAAAAATATAAATAATAAGGTAAGAATTTTCTAACATCTTAATTACCGCTTGGAATAAACTTGAAAAATATTTGTTTTTTGGAAAATTAGGTTAAAAATATAACACAGACATGGAAACTAAAGAATAAGATCGCAAATTCTCCCATTTTTAGTCTAAAAAAATTACAGTTGGCTGAATGCTTTAATTTATGCGGTCTTTGTCTTTAAAAGTGCAGGAGCTTGGATGCGGGATTTTAGATTTGAAAAAAAGCTGTAAACAAACTAAGCCAATGATGGAACTGGAGAATAAAAAGGAACATAGAAATCTATTTGTTCCTCTTCATGAAAATTAAGTTATTCTATTTAAATGAGATTTAAAAGTTCTGGAAACACTGAGGCTAAAAACTTTTTCTCAAGAAAACATTGCATTCCTTTCTCAACATGTAGCAAAACGTAGAGAAAGGCTTATTCAGCTCATGCAGAAATGTTATTGCATAATGTCAAATAAAGATGCTATAGTTTTGATGATAATAATTAAGTTATTTACGCACTAATATAATCTGCTTAGAATGAGCAATTGACACTATTTTGACACTATAAATTTTTGTAACTAAAGAAAAGGAAATAAAGCTTTTATAAAGAACTAGTGGAAGTAACCGATGGCAGTTAAGTTACATTGAGAGTAATGTATTATTTTACTTATGACATCATTTGAAAATTTGCATAATAGCGTTACACATCATAAGAAATTTGATGCGTCATTATGCATAAAAATGTCAAAGAAACGAAGTAATATTCAATAATGTACCACAACTGACTACGTAATCGTACCTTTTTCAGCGATATGTAACCCATATAAAAATTTCGATAGAAAATTAAACCTCTCTCATATTACATCAGCAAGAACGGCACGCAGCCATTGTTGCTGATATATCACTGTCCCTATTGTTGCTGATATCAGCACTGTTGCTACTCGGAAAAACGAGAGCGAAAATTAGCGTTTTAAGCATGTTTAATTAATATCTCTGATTTTAGCAATTTTTTTAAAAAAAAGGGGACGTCGGCCTTTTTCAGGACCCAGAAAAGAACTGTAGAAAGTTTGGTGACGATAGCTATAGTAGTGACTGAGTTATTAGCGAACAAACACACAAACTTTCTTCTTTTTATATAAATAGAGTAATGAAAATAGCTTCGATATTAGTAGATTTTTAATAATGTGTCTTTGAATAATATATTTAAATTTTTCATTATTAAGATGGAATTTAACACCTTTATTTAAGTAAAAAAAAACTGAAAAATGTCTATTTAATATGACAAAGTAAGCACTGGATGACTCCTTAAAACGAGCTTCCACAAGAGGCTTTTCTCGACAGAATGTACATGCTCCTGACATAATTACAGCAGAAATAAAGTTTAGCTAGTAAAATAATTTATTTTTCCATGGTTGACGATAAAGTGCAACTCTAGTTTTGATATTTCATCTACCAGAAATGCTACATTTGTAGCGCTAAAATTAAATTTCTATAAAGTGTGAGCATCTTAATTAAGAGGAACTTTTATCATAGAACTTTCGTCAAAATTAAAATTTATTTTGATAGAACAGAGTCAAGTGAATAAAAGTGTACCAGATAGCTATGCGATCGTTTCCGAAACGCTTTTTAACTTTTCTTATAAATGAAAAAGAAGTAATTCATGTATCCTGAACATATCACCTCTTGCTAATATCTCTAGTTTAACGGCATGTAGTTGAGTCTATAGAGATCGGCCTTCTCCTCCTGAAATTTGAGCATTATTTGCATTCTTTTTTTTTTTTTTTTTTTTTTTTTTTTTTTTTTTTTCAGTACGAAGAATGTTTTTCTGAATACGAAGCAAACACTGCTTTCAAAAAATTGGTAAGAAAGATAATATATACTTAAATACTGCTATATTAAAATTACTTTTTAGCAATTTATTGTTTGTATAACCTGATTTATTAACCTTTTTTCATGAGAAAGTATCCTTTTCACTTGATAAATACAGTGGAATTATATTTTAAGACATCCAGTTTAAAAGTACATACTTTTGAGAATCACCGTATTGTTTATTCTCTTTAAAAAAACTATTCCCATTTTAATTCCTGGACTCAATTTTTTAGTAAAAATGCGGTCTACTCATACGTTAAATTTAAACAGATTTTGGGGGAATACAGTGTATTCTACTCCTTCAATAAGAAAGCTAATGAATAAAGTTAATATCTAAATTCTGCAGATTAAATAAAATGAACAAACAAAATATTTTTGTAGGCAAACTTTCTCTCAGGCTTAAGAACTCTTTTCTTCGAATAGCCTTGGGTCAAGAAAATATTAGCACAGAATTTTCGTCTTGCGTCTATCTTTTGAAGTTAATTATAATCAAATTTTGTAAATATACCTTTTTCTCCACAAGCTATAAATAACTTTATTTTAACTTGCACTCAAATTTATTGTCAAGTTTAAAAGTTAAGAGGATACTAGTTTAGACAATAATTCTAATTCATTTCTTTATTTGGAGATATAAATACGTACAATGAGGTCCCGACATTGTTTCAGAATTATGTAGTCCTGCATTTGAAATTAATAGACTTTACACAAGAAAAACTGAAATATCCGATTTCTGAAATTTTAAAAGAATAATTCCAGGTCAAATTACGGTTGACGAAGAAGAATAAAATCATTGATACATTATTTTGAATTGACTAGTTCTGAAAAGGAATTATATAATAGATATGAAAGTGAATTCGCAAACGTTTTGTCACATCTGAAACAAATCAAAGCCTTAGACAAGGAATTATAATAAAAAAGCAGTAAAGTTCTGACGTAGTGCAAGGCAAAAAAAATTTAACTTGAAAAGTACCCAAAATAAATTTATGCAGGTAAAAAAATTGCAGCATTTTTATTACTTCCAAGAAGCAGCTCCAAATATCTAGAGATGGAAAAAAAATTAAAAGAAGGGAAGGGTCTTTTTACGAAAATGGCTCATATACACCTTACAAATAGGAAATAAGTTATTTCCTCTCTTCTTTCCGCATGCCTTCGTGGTGTAATTGGAAGCATACTCGACATGTATTCGGGTGGTCCGGATTTCGAATCCTGGAGAGGGCACTGCACATTTTTCACGTCCCAGGATCGTTATAATCTAATCGGAATGATAATCCGGGATCGCCTACTCTACAAGTGGCCCCCGAACTAAAAGATGGTGGACGATAGGATTTGGCGATTGGGTTCTCTCATCTACAGTCGCTCTTTAAAAGGGAGAAAGTATAAGGAATTACCTCCCTCCTTTCCGCATGCCTTCGTGGTGCAATTGGAAGCACGGTCGACGCGCATTCTGAAGGTCCGGTGATCAAATTCCAGTGAGGACACTGCACATTTTTCACGCTCCAGAATAACCTAATGACTCTACAAGGAAATACAAGGAAAAGATTCCTCCAGTCAGTCTGTTAGCCGTGATTTGAAACTATACGTTGAACAATTGCGTTCAGCGGTTTTACCGATCGCCCGTCAGTAGTCTTGCATTTCTGAAACTCCTTTTGATTCGTTCCGCTGCTTGCAACTGGTGTAAAACACATTTCTGCTTTGATTTTTTACTGCACCTCCCTCTGTGCTACACTTTCAATCTGCAGTCACTGATTATCCCGTAAAATGTATTCTGGTTGCATCGCTGCAAAACATCTGCAATATGAGATATCGTTCCACAGTAAAATGATTTCCAGAATTTCTGGTACTCTTGCTTGATTTTCAAAAATTAAATTTCTATCGGTTCTATTAAACGTTTAATTTTAAGTTAATGTGCATCCATAACCAAAATATACACCTTCCGCTTATTATTTCTTCATTCATTATTTTATATTTTCTTTGCATATTTGGAAAGAAATTACATTTATTATTTAGAAAACTCAACTTGGCAACTTATCTAAATTTTCAAAACTGAATTTTGAAAATTTTGACAATTGCTGAACTGCACTGTGTCACCAAATCACGTTATTTTTTTATAATTTAAGGGTTTATCAACACAAGAGGAGAACACTACTTGAAAGTGGTGTTCCAATAGTTTATAAACTTAGTATTTGGAGATACTGAAGCAACAAGGAACATTGTATATTGTAAAAATTCGTAGCACTAGATTCGAAGCTTATGTACAGAAGATTTCATTGCTACCAAATATAATAATGACAATAGACAGATTAAAACGCATGAATAGTAGATATTAATGAAGATTGAAAGCAAAGCGTTTCTGCCTCTCATGTTCCATTGCTGACACGTTTGTCATGGAGCTTAGCAACTTAAATTATACTTGAAGTTGGCAGCTTGGGGTGTTAAAACACTAAAGATTAATATTCTCCGATGAATAAAACTTCTATGTGTTTCGTAATAATAAGCACGTTAGAATATGGTCTAAATTTAGTCTCAAAACGCCATGGACTTCTTTGAAGCAGTAGCTCACACATATGCCACATTGGAAACTTTGACAGTTCACCTGCATCTTTTCATGACTCATGAACACCTGATGACGAAAGACTATTAAAAAAGAAATCAAAGTTTCCTACCAGTTTTTAGTTGCTAAAAATGAATCAAGAAATATTCCACTGAATATTAACGCCATGATTTGGGTACTACATCTTTTAACATAAACTCTTTGGAATATTTTTGGGACAGGCGGAAATATACCTACGTTTCATAAATTCAGCACTATTCTAAGTAAAAAACGTATTATCGATGCTGCAGAATTTGTAAAAGACTAATTCTACAGACTGGTGTCAGCAACTTGCTGACTTCTTGCCTCTACATGTGATTCATCCAAATTGTGATTAAAAGCACCGCGAAGGACCAGTTTGTTATTAAAGTCTTTGTTCGATGACTTTTGGTACTTGTATATTCAGGGCATTTATGTGATAAGATTACTTATGGCAATTTAAGACAAGATTACAATTTTAATAATCTATCTATAAAATATCGTCTTTCTAACTGCTAGTACTTTGATTTCAGGATTTTAGTTCGTTTATTTCAAAGGTTGCCACCCAGATGGTATAGTGGATAGGGGAGTTTACTGCAATACCAAAGGGCCCGAGTTTGAATCCGGAAGAAGGCCTGGCTTTAATAGTTTGTTCCTTCAAAGGAGATAATTCAAGCTTACTTATAGGTGCTTCCACAATCATTCTTAACGCCTACCAAGGCCGAAAGTGGCCACTTAGGAGTGGGCCAAGGCTAAGTGTCCGCCAATGTAAAACAAAAGACAAAAGGCTCTTTTTTCATGTAAATACCACATTTTAGTATAAAATTAAGTGCATTGATCAGTTTAATTCATGCTGATTGTAAATGAAAGGTATAATTACTTATGCAATATAACAGTTATATTGAATACTTTGATACTTTCAATAATCGCGATGTGAAACAAAATTTATTAGAACATTTTATATTTAAAACACTTCTAAAATTTTTACATTTTGTTAGAAACGTTTTCGGAAAAGGAATAAATAATGAATTTACTGAACTCAAATAGATGCATATTATTATAAGCAATTATAAAGTACAATCTTAATTTCAAGGAAGCATACGCTACTTAAAAAAGAAATATTTAAATATTACTTAAAAAGTAATAATTACTGTGTATATGAACTTTATTAGTAGATTTAAACATTTATAACATATTTTTGCCTTTTCTCTCTAGATGGAAATTTTGCCTCCTGTCATGGTGAGTTCTCATTTTTTTATATGTATATGTCTTGGTTTTTAAGTCATATTAGTATGTACGTTCATAAATACAATTTGATTCAAACTCATTTGAATATTTAAAGTACGCAGAGTATCTCTGAGCACTGTATTTTCAAAAGGCATCAATCAATTATATGTAATATGGAATGGACTAAAAATATCTTTGTGTAATGCAATAACTCAAAAATATAATAAACTAATAACGAATAAATTTCATTATGTGCAGTATTAACAACTCGACAGATGTCATAGCCATGTTCAACCTCGATAGGAATGCTTGGTTTAACACTTGCATTTGCTTTCGTGATTCTTTAATTGAGGTGGCCAAGGTTATAAATTCTTTCATTGTAAAACTGATTTCTAACAAAACTCTAAAGGAAGAAGTTTAGTGGGATAAAATCAGAATTTCTTGCAGGCCATGAAATAGAACAATTTCTGCCAATCCGCAGTCCTGGAAATCGACGATTCAACTTGTCTCTAATTTTACAAACATGTCATCAGTAAAGGCATCCTGTTCTCAGGAAAATATAGGCACGCAATTTTCTGTCTGAAAAAAAAAGCAGTGGAAAAAGTTTCTAAAACACTGGAAAAAAGAAACCAAAATTGAAGAAAAGGCGAAATTTCCTTTTTAAGTTTAGATTTGTTTATTTGCTATTTTCTTTCTTTAAGCTAAATTGAAATTCAGTTTCAGGAAATACAGCAGTGAAAATGAAGCAGGAAACGTTGAAAGTTGCCTTTCACTTTTCACTGTTGTACGTTTTTGGTATCTACATATGCAAAACATAGGCAATTTTTCCTTTTCTGTAAATCTGATTTTCCGAATTATCTTACTCTTAGTTACTTGTAACATTTTACCCTTGAGTATTCCGAATTACTATTAAAAGCATAAATAAAAACAACTCATTCTCGTGCTTCAAAATTTTAATTTATTGTATTTCTCTTATTATTTAAATTATTATTTTACTATTTTTTGTATATTGTGCACATATTTTCATTCAAGTTCATTTAAATTTTTGAAAATAGAGTAATATTAAAGTGTCTATTTACTGCTCATAATGCAACTGTTAATCGTGCTCTTGAGGCTATTTATCAAATTTCGTTACTCATCACTTAATCTGAGAAAAGCCGTACTATAGGGGAGAATTTTATCAAACCATCAATATCAGAATTTAAACATTTCTAGAAAAAGATGACGAAGACGTTAAAGCTATGCCACTAAATAACAATACTCTTTGCAGAAGAAAGATTAAATGAGTGAGGCTATTGAAATAAAACTTGTTGAAAAGCTGAAAACAAGAAAAGTTTCGGTGCGAACGGATGAACCAACTTTGAGAGACAGTGAAGCCGTACTTGTAACTTATGTAAGATATATTCATAAATGGGATTTTGGCGAAGAAATGTTCTGTAAATCATTAGAAAGCACCACTACCTTCAAAGATATTTATAGTAAGCTAAAAAATTACTTAGATATAAAAAATATACTAATAAAAAATAGAATACATCTTGTACAGCAGATGGTGCTCCTAATATGATGGTTGAAAAATAAAATAAAGCACGGAATAAGAGAAAGGGTTGCTTAAAATTGATAAAAGATGAGAATCCAGAAATGCTTCTTGTGCATTGTGTTATTCACAGAGAAAACTTGGTAGCTAAAAACAATTCGCCTGTTCTAAATGAAGTACTAAATTCAGTTATAAAGTGTATCAATGCTATTAAAGCTAGGGCCAAATGTGACGTCTTTTCAAGTTATTTTATGAAGAACAAAATGAAGACTATATGAGACTTGTACTTCACACTGAAGTAAGAAGGCTGTCGGAAGGTAAATGCTTAGAAAGATTTATGCAACTATTTGATACTCTTAGTTATTTTTTAAGCTACAAACCTGAAATGAAAAATCCGTTAACGGATGATAACAAGGCAATTGTGAGTTATTTAGCCGATATCTTTGAAAAATTAAATATATTAAATAAACAACTTCAAGGAGCAAATAAAACTTATGATGCAAAGGAAAGATATTTGGTTTCATTATCTTTGTTGAATTATGCCAGGCATATACTATTTACCACAACAATTTTGAAAAGTCTCATTGGCTCCAAAAATGTGACATAACTACTGCTATACTTGTTATTGTTGATCATCTGAAAATTTTATCGGCTGATTTAAAAGATTTTGTAACTTAAAACAAATTGATTTTCCAACTTGGATGATGCAGCCAATGCTAGTGGATTTGGCTGATATTTCAAATATGCAGTAAAAAGAAGAACTCGCAGAAATTCAAAATGATGAGTCAATTAAAACTTTATTTAATATAAAAGGAGCGATGACATACAGTGGATGGACAAAAATATGGAAACACCTTGTGAAATGCATGTTTGAAATGAAAGATTGATTTTAATGAAATATGTAGGTGGCACTGGCGTTTTTGACTATTGATGCCACCTATACAACTTCGTAAATGTGCTAAACAGTTCAGTGTTGTCGGAGTACTGTTATGTGAGGTTGTCATTGCATTATGTCAGAGTTAACAGACTTCGAACGTGGGCAAATTGTTGGAGCACGTATGGTAGGTGCTTCCGTAAGCAAGGTAGCCGAGGTGTTTAGTGTTTCACGAGGTACTGTATCGAAGATTTATTCCGCATATTTGAAAAGCGGAAAAACATCATCTGCTAAATCACAGCGCGGACGAAAGTGTGTCCTGAGTGATCGTGACAGACGATCATTAAGGCCAATTGTGACGAAAAATAAGAAGACCACAGCTGCAAAAGTTACTGCTGAAATGAATGTTGTGTTACCGAACCCTGTGAGTACCAAAACAATTAGAAGGGAGCTTCATAAACAGGGAATTGCTGGCCGTGTTGCAATTGAAAAGCCACTCATCAGTGATGCCCGTAACAGGAAAAGGTGGTGTTTAAGTCATAAAGCCTGGACTATAGAGCAGTGGAAGTGAGTAATATGGTCTGACGAGTCTTCTTTCACATTGTTTCCCACTTCTGGCCGAGTTTACGTCTGGAAAATGCCATCTCAAGCCTATAATACAGACTGCTTGTTGCCAAGAGTGAAACATGGCGGGGGTTCTGTTATGGCAGCCATATCGTGGTTCTCTGCTAGCCCCATGATAACTGTGTCAGGGCACATGACTGCCAAGACTTATGTGAACATTTCGGCCGATCAAGTTCATCCCATGGTACAAACTTTGTTCCCCGATGGTGATGGTGTCTTCCAAGACGACAAAGCCCCTGTTCACACAGCTCACATTGTCCAGGACTGGTTTTCTGAGCACGAGGATGAGTTGTTCCACCTCCCCTGGCCACCACAGCCACCAGACCTGAATATTATAGAACCTTTGTGGTCTACATTGGAACGGAAAGTGCGTTCTCGTTATTCACCGCCAATATCGTTATCTGAACTTGCCACCGTTTTGCAGGAAGAAGGGTATAATATTCCCTTGGCAAACATACAGGAACTGTATTTATCTATTCCGAGAAGACTGCAAGCTGTTTTGGATGCCAACGGGTTTCCTACACCATATTAAGAAAAGAAACATGTTTGTTTTAAAGGTGTTTCCATATTTTTGTCCAACCCCTGTAGCTTTGTGAGGAAACCAGAATCATATATCCAAATGCAACAAAATTTGCAAGAGAACTATTGTTACCGTTTCCATCTTCATATTTTGCTGCTAAAAAAAGAAAAAGAAAGAAAGAAATCGGTGGATATAGTGGAACCGAGAGACTTGAGACTCAAGTTATCTAAATTGGAACCTGACATAAAATTTCTTTGCAACAAGTATCAAGCGCAAGGAACTCGCTAAATTTAAATAATAAAAATTATTAATACTTAAAATAAAAAACTTTCACTAAAAGGAGTTTTTTCTTGAATTTCAGTTCTCCATGTTTTGAAAGTTCACTTACTGTGTTTGCTCAGAAAATTTCGTAGTCATTTCTTCTTAAAAGCTATCATTCAAGTTTCTTTCGTGAATATTTCAATTTTTAAATATTAAAAATTATGTATAAGCTAGAGGGAGCTTAAAAATTTTAGAGAGGATTAGGTGGGGCATAGCACAAAAGAGGTTAGGAAACACTGGTCTAGACTGACTGCACAGATAATTTGAACACTTTCACTTCTAGGACCTTAGGTTCTTCGGAGCCAACAAACAAGAGAAATCACATGGGCTCTCGCCGGTATCAAAACCCCTAATCTTTCAGTTGGTGGTTGGATGTAACATTTTGCCCCATAAGAGGAAACACGCAAGAATGCGACATTTACTTATTATCTAATACCGAAGTCTTTTTTAAATTATTCCTTTGTATACAGATACTTAAAATCTACTAATTATAGTCTAGACTGACTGCACAGGTGATTTGAATACTTTCGCTTCTAGGACCTTAGGTTTTTCGGAGCCAACAAACATGAGAAATCACCTGGGCTCTCGCCGGTATCAAAACCCTAATCTTTCAGTTGTGGTTGGATGTTGTAACATTTTGCCCCATAAGAGGAAACACGCAAGAATGCGATATTTACTTATATTTTCCACTTATATTCACTGAAATAGGCAAAGATAGGCAAGAGATCCAGTAGACCGAATCCAATTTTGATGAGTTATCATCTTGTACATTATATTTAGAGTGTCACTGTAGAGAAAATTAGGTTTTTCGGAGCTGAAGAAAGTGAGAAATCACCTGCGTTTTCGTCGAAATTAGACTGCAGATCTAACTTCCAGCTGTATGTGGTAACTATCTCCACCGCAAGAACACACTTAGAGGAAGACAGTTCTTAGAAACTTACCAGACTGTCTCTTTTGAGTTCCAGGTAATATTGAATGCCAATGTACACAATGTTTGTTGCCATTTTTAAGGGGGCTACAGACTGCGACATATCTAAACTGTAGGCACTCTTAGACAAAAATTACGCACTTAGGTTTTATTAAATACTGTGTGGGCATATTAAAGCATGTTTACAAATAATGTGAAATTAAGTGAAAGATATATTTTTAATTAAACATTCATTTACTTTTAACAGTTTCTAACACTTGATTTTAAAACATTTATTTTCAGGCTTGCTATGATGAAGTATTTAAGAAACACGACATGGAACCTTTTCTGTCATACATTAATATGACAACAGCTGCTTGACACTTGATTCGATGAAGTCCAAAAAATAGCATAATTTTCAATTCTTGGATGATACACGTTTATGTGATGTTGTAGGTAATCGGATGCTAATTAGCTACATAATAAAATATATAACATAAGGAATATTAAACACCCGTGTATTTATTTTAGTTCAATTTGTTTCATTGCTTTTTCTATTAAAGTTGGCATTTGTTGTGGCGAACCTTTGCGTCTTTAAAAAAAAACTGTATTAGTCGCTACAGCGAAAAAGGATTTAATATGTATTTTCACTGAATTTTCTCATTGGTCATTGTAATAAAAGTATCATTATAATCATCAGACGTTAGATAGAACACCGACTTACCGATTTCGATATTTGGGACGAAATTTCCGAATTTTTAACCTTTTTGGCAAATATTATTCAAAATGTTTAAACTATAAAAGTTCTTTACTCCAAAGGGTGAAAATAATTAAACCATTACATTTATAAACATTATAACCATTACATTTAAAGTGTTAGTATCACTATAACAATTAAATAAATAAATAAAATTACAATAACAACAAAAAAGAACATACAAAATACATTCATCATACAGAATAATTAATAATCTATTTATTAAAAAATGAAGAATCTCTGAATATATCATTTCGTCGCACTGTGGAAACGATGGTGGCAACTATGAGCAACTTAGTATTAATTTCATATTTTGTTCGAATTAAACGAATTTTAGATTGTAGAGACATAAGGTTATTTCGAAGGAAAATAAGTGAAAAACGAGCAATGCCTTTGCCAGGACTTGAACCACGGACCTCTCGAATACGCGCCGAATGTGCTGACCACTACACCACGAAGGCACGCTAAGAAGGAGGGAGAAATACCTTATATACTCCCCCTTTTAAAGGGCGACTGGGGATTAGGGGACCCAGTTGCCAAATCCTGGGGGTGGAAAATCATCATCCATTACCTTTTTTAGTGACATTAGGCTGCAGAGACATTAGGCTATTTGAGAGAAGGAGATGTGAAAAATGAGCTGTGCCCTCACCTGGACTCGAACCACGGACCTATGGAATACGCGCTGACCCATGCTGATCACTACAGCACGCATGCATGATAAGAAGGCGGGATAAATACCTTAAAAGGCTTAAAAAGATCCATGAAATCAATTCATATGTTATTTCCTTATGCACAAAGATGCACGCGTCTTTTATGACCTCGAGAACGAGATATTGTAAGCATGATTATAAATTATTTTTTGAAAATAGATAGAATGTCTACTGAAGAATAGTAAAAGCTAGTTGTGGCTGTCGTTCTATTTACGTTCTTAAAGTTATGTACTGAATAGTAAAAAGGTCTATTTAGATATGTACATTTAAGTTTGGTTTTATTTATTTATTTATGACAAGTACGCTAGGTGCTATCTGCCCATGGTGAGGAATGCCTTGTGGAAGACTTTATAAGGGACACTGACTCTGTATCCACGTTATGCATGAAGAAAACACGAAAACGCATGAAGCAAGCCCGTTTGCTTGGAAACCAACCCAGGTCGAACTAGGGGTGTTCAGAAACCTCACCCCTCGGCCGCTGGTGGGCCTGATGTACGTTTAAGAATAAGCAATGAGTAGGCCTAATAAGTTACGAGTAGATTTTTATTTTTCAATAAGTTTTTTTTTGTCATTAAAAAAAACGCCTTATGAGCGATGAAGTTAAATACACAAGAAACTAAGAGAAATCAGAAGTAGGACGATTCCTAATCCTAAATCTGTACTAATTTACTACAAGGTGAACGAAATGTAAGGAATTTGAATTTTAAGGTATGTTGCATTGATTGATGTGATTTATTTAAGTACTTACATATTATTCCGTCAACCTTTCGAGCAAATGTCGGCAACGGTCGCTAATCGCCAGTCGTTACTGCGGAATTCTAAAGTACACGGTTATCCATAAATGGCGCTAAATCGCTGTACTTAGCCAGTATCGACGGGATAATACGCAAGTACCTTTATTTGTTTTAGAATAGAATTTTATTGCAGACAGAGTTTAATTTTTTTCAATCATTTAAAGTTCAAAACATATTCAGAATGTCGCATAAACTCACAAAAATAACAACAGTTATATTCTTCTAAGTTATTTATTTTTTAATTATAATGATAATAACATGTACACAGAAATAACAGTAGCTGTGTTCTACTAAGTCATGTATTTGAAAGTTAATGATAAAAATAATAATAATAATACCAGACATATTTATGTTTTAATAAGTACGAAAATGTCTAGTTTCGATAAAGCAAAGAAACACGATTTAAAACTATTAGCTGAAGAATCCGGAGAAGATGTAAATGAGAATCATAAAATTATCGATTTGAAAAAAATAACTTTGGAGAGCAAAGAATATGGTGAAGAATCCGCCAAAGAAGGGGTGAACACGATAATAAACGAAAGAAAAGAAAAAGAAAAAACTGAAGAGTGAAAACGAAAGCGCCAAGGAGAAACTGAAGAAAGAAAGCGCCAAGATGAAATTGAAGAACGTAGGCGAAAAGAAGAATAGGAGGAACGAAAAAACAAAACATATGAAATGGGATTTGATTTGCGAAAATTACCTGTTGAAGCAGAAAGTAGGTCTACAAAATTCGTTGCCAGTCAAAATAAAAAGTAAATGTACCGAATGAATAAATGTACCGAATGAAGCCAAATTTGGAGCTTCATCGTTTGCTAAAAAAATTTAGTCCCGACGAAAATGATGTAAATTTATGTTTAATTACGCGTCTAAGTTTAGCCAAACAAGATGATATACCAAAAAATAACGTGGTTACTCATTTGCTTGGCTTATTTGTCGTACGACATTGCCCACTTAATCGACAGGAAAACGGACGAAAATCAAAACAATTATAAAGAAGTTAAAATGATCTTATTAAAACGGTGCAAGATGACAGCATAAAAATTACACCAAAACTTTTTTACGCATAGTAAGGGTGTCGAAAATGCATGAAAGAATTCTGCGTACGAGTTAGGTTCTTTTTAATGAATTGATAAATGGAATTAAAGTAAATACTGTTGACGACTAGTCTAAGTTGATTTCATCAGGTGATTTAGTTAAAAAACTAGATGATTATGATACCTTTCAAGTTTCAAGTTAACTTTCAAGAATAAACAGCTGCTTAAAGAAGGGTCTAGTAACAAATGAAATTCTTGAAGAGATAATCCAGTTCTTACAATCAAGGAAAAGAGAAAAAATATTAAGACATAAAACATAATAAGCGTAATGAAAAATGTAAACCAAAATGCTTCAGGTGTAACAATTTCGGACACATGTCAAAGGACTGCCCGCTGCTAAAACCAGTTGAAACATGCCAATAATATAATAAAACAAGACATAAAAGTAACAATTGTGTTACTAAAGTCGAAAATAATTATTCAGATGGTAAACATTATTCTATTAAGGAAGTTGGCGAAAGTTCAGAAGAGAGTACTTTATATCTGAAGAAAGTAAAACTCAATAATTCTAATGTAGTATAGGTTTTAGTTGATACAGAAGGTTCTTGTTGTCTGTTAAGGATTTTAGTTGCTCAAAAACTGAAATCCGAATCTGTTATCAATGAATTATATGATTTTTGGAAATCAAAGGGTACCTGCAGTGACCTCTATAGGAAGGATTAAAGCCGATATTGAAGTTGATAATGTGAAAGTACACGGCGTAAGTATATACTTGTTCCTGATAATGGATCTTATCGTCGGGCGGATACGACTTGATCTCCCTCACATCGGTTGTGTTGGAGAGATATTAGGTATTTTTAAAGCAGGAGAAAAGAAAAATGAGCAACGCCTTCGCCGGGAATCGAACCACGGACCTCTGGAATATGCGCCCAGCGTGCACACACTACGAAGGCATGCTAAGAAGGCGGGAGAAATACCTCATTGTGTCAGAACAACAAAAAAATTTCACTTCGGACGTTGGGAACATAAAATATTTCTTAATTTTCTAATTGAGAAAAAAATAAATCAAATCCGCCTTAAGGTTCTTGATACAAATGAAGTAGAGAAAAATAAAGCCAAATTTGTCAGTTCCCAATTAGAGTTTGTTGACAATGGATTCATTATGATAGAAAATTATTCCAAATGCATCGACTGTTTAATGTATCAGGTTCTATGTTCCGCCTTACTTGCTTGGGGAACATGCAAAGACCTGACTCGGAACAGGGAGCTTACTAAAGCTATGTCCAATAAATGTGGGAAGTAGACAAGATACACAGGAAGGGTATACGAAACCCTTTATTTTTCACTCTTTACAATAATTTCCGTACTTCGGAATACAGAGACCCACTACTTCTGGTCTGAACGTAAGAATATAAAAATATTAACTAAACTCTAACTTAAATTTGGAATAATAAACAAGGGCCTACGTGGAAGATTGGCCTTACATTAACAGGAAGCCGTATGTAGTACAGAGAACAGTTAACACTATAAATACGTTTAAAATTATCAAGAGGATTAAACCTCTGGCCTGGAAGGCAACCAGCAACCGAGTAAAACTGCTAAGGCAAGCGGCCTGCTTCGACTAACTCCTTCCTCTCTTTCTCTTTTGGCAAAAAGCCACAACTTAAGTACTTGGCGTTCGCCAGACAAATTTGCATAAATAAGTTAAAGCTTTTAATTCTGGCCGGAAGTAGAAAATAAGAAGTGATAGTAAAGACTTAAAATAAAATAAACGTTAGTAAAACTTAAGATCCTTACATACTTCCCGCCAGAGTTAATTAGTTTGAAACTGAGGTCTAAAACGACCTTGTTGAAAACTTTTAGCTCTAGAATCTAACGCGAGACCAATCTTTTACAAACATTTCTCACTAGAAACTAGAAATTTAAAAAAAAAATTTTTTTTTACATTATCAGCTCCATGGACAACCACTTTTCATCTGTACTGCATCTAAACAGGAGCTTTTAGTTCAAATCTGGTTCCTTCCAGAGATCTGGAAGGAAAACTAGTTTAATGAAATGTTACACAATTAAATGGCAAGTAACATTGTAAGGATCTTAAGTTTTACTAACGTTTATTTTATTTTAAATCTTTACTATGACTTCTTATTTTCAACTTCCGGCCAGAATTATAAGATTATAAGCGTGAAGGTATTTATGCAAAGTTTGTCTGGCGAACG